TGTGGTTTGGCCACCCCACGAACACTACAGAAATTGACGGATTGTGTTTAAATGATGTTTTGAAATGAGAACTGTGAAACGTCTTGATTTTCTATGAATTCAGTTTCATTGATTTTTAAGTCTTCCGCTTTATTATCGATGTTATGTATTATTATTTCAAGTTTATATACAATCTGTTCACTCCGTGTTCTTGTTTTCTGATACGGCAGGTTCCAAGTGATTCTGATAAGGGACGGGACTTGAGATCGAACGTTTGACTTTTTGGAGTTGGTAAACTCGTTGGTAGATGTATAATATTCTAAACTTATAAATAGTTGATAGAATGTAATATTTTGGATTGTAAAGCATGTTTTAGAAGTTAATTTATGTTTGAAGTTTATTAGTAGCTCTGCAATGTTTGTATTTTAGAATTAAGTCCCGTTAGTGACACCTCCCGTTCCGGACCACGAGGACGGGGGATGTTACATATATGATGCGACAAGTTGACTCAAGATGTGTTTATTAATTAATTTGATTATTTTGATGCGATAAATGAGGCTTGTTGTAGCAAAATGATGTATATTTGTTACTTATACAAATATGAGTTCATAAATGTGATTTGGTGATCATTCACCCTGTAATTGCATCAAATTGATTTCTCATTAGACTCCAAGGTCTAACCTTCATTTTTTATTTCAAAAATATGCATTACAGGTCGGGCACAACCAAAAGATAAGGGGAAGGAAAAATTGTGAAGTGATAATATTATGCTTACATGGGATTTTGGACTAGCATAATCTTCTTTTGTATCTGGATACTTGTCATGTACTCATATGTAGTATAGAGATCTTATGGAAAAAATTGTTAGCTATTTTATAATATAGCTTTTGTTAGAGATTGGGACCGAAAGTGTGACCTATATTTCTTGATATATGAAAATATATGTTCATATACAAATATGATCATGGGGTGTACAATGATTATTATTATTGTCAGTCGAGTGTGTGATTTTTTACCCTAACATTCTCGAATTTAAGAAGAAAAGAGAAGAGAGTGAAGGGAAAATAAAGAAAAATAATCGTATGGAAAGAAAAAGAACCGAAAGAGATGAAAAAAGTTTGATATTCTTGAGCATAAGAGAAAAGAAATAAAATACGTCAAACAAATATACCCTTATTTACTTTATAACAGATTCTAATTAATGGATAAATATGTAATTTTATAAAAAAACAATTAAATGTTCTTTCTTTTTTCTTTCCTTTTCTTCCCTCTCCTCCCATATTTGAGAGGAAAGTTGGTCATTTTTCTTCTTCGTTTTCCCTTCAATTCCCTTCCAAACGAACTCGAAAACACAATACTTTTTCTTCCCTCTTTGCAAAAAAAGAAGACTCGAGAATACGATATTTTTTCTTTCCTCCTTTCCTTCCCTTTCTTCGTAAAAGACACTCGATAACATAACGTTAGTAAACCGCCTCTTAATTTAATATTATTGATGGGCACGTGAAGTTTAATGTTTAGGCTTGTTAACATTTAGTTGGAACTAGAAGGATACTCACGTAATGCAGCGAGATCTATCTCGATTTTAGTGTTTCGCTTTATTTTGTCCCTGTCAATGTTATAATACGGTTTTTTTAAGTGGTTTGAGAAAACGATAATGTTTTCATTTTTCAATAAAATATAATTTTGCAAATATTATAAAATTTTGAAAAATATATACCGGTATTATGATCAAATTAACTATTTAAAAGTTCTTGTTTTTATGTAATTTCTTTAATTCAATTTTTTATTGTAACTTAATTTAGGCTTAATAACAAAGTAATTTACTTTTAATTAGGGTTTAGAGTTTAGGGTTTAGATAATTATATAATTTTTTATAAATATAAAATTAAGTATTCTGTTAGAACACAACAATTATATTAATTATATTTTAATTTTTTTATATTTAAAATAAAAATGTTTATCTTATACTTGATTATATTTATCTGCAGTTAAGTACACGAATTCAAGCATGAAGCTTTAATAACGTGTACTTACGCATAATTTAATTGTAATTTTAAATTTTAAGTAATATGTATCAATAAATGGTACTTTATATATATAAAATAATTTTTAAAAGTTTTTATCAAATACTTTATAATAGAGTATAGATAATTAAATTATTTTGAGATAAATGTTTTTGTTTCTGACATGATACATTTGGGTCTAATATGGTTGTTGAGAGCTTTACCATTATGCCTTGTCCCAGTCCCATTATTGTCTTAATTGATTAAGACATTACTGTTTTTCTTTTTTATTGGGCTCTAAAATTGGTTAATATTATTTGGGCTACTGCTGATTTAGTTACTTATTAATATGGTCACATATCAGTTTTCTTATGGGCTACAAATTTGGCTGAATCTTTTTCATTTAAGGATGGAAAGTCTAAAAAGTATATCAATATAGATATCAAATCAACGATGATCACTCTTTTGATGTAACTTATTCCACTCTAATTTTGTTTATCTTTTGTTTTTCTGGAAGAAAAAAATAGGAGGTGAAGTTTTTTCATTTAAAAAACAGGGCAAAATGCTCGAAATAGCAACATTCTTTTACAAATTTTTCTATTATAGCATTCTACTTTCAGTTTTTTCTTATTACAGCAACGTATTTTCAAAATCTTTTTTATTAGGGCATCGTACTTTCAAAATTTTACCCGTTATAACATTGAGTAATCTTTTAAATTAAATTTACCCATTATACCAGGTTTCTTTGTCACCTTATCGTCCACGTAGGCTGTCCACATGTACAATAGTGCTGACATTACAATTCTTATTATAACATTGTACTTTTAAAATTACTTTATTATAACATCATCAATTTCTATTACAACATTGTACTTTTAATTTTAATATTTTTATCATTTAAATATTATAAATCTAAAGGAAAAGTACAATAAAAACCAATGGACTTTCTTGTTTGGAATGATTAAGTCCTTGGACTTTTTTTTGGAACAAATAAGTCCTTGGACTTTTTTTTGGAACAAATAAGTCATTGGACATTCCCAAACATGTTAAATAAGTCCTTCGACAATTTTTTGGAACAAATAAGTCCTTGGACATTCCAAAATATGTTAAATAAGTCCTTAGACAA